TTTTATTGGTCTTTAATTTTTTAAATTTATCAGCTTATTGTTTTATTAACAAGCTGTTTATTCTTTCAACTAAATCATAAGGAGTTATGTACCTATTATGAATAATATACATAATAATGTTATAACACATACATAAAAAATAGAAATTATATTACAAACAATATAACTACTGCAAGCCACTACCATCTCGCCTTCCTGAGATTTAAACAAACAACTAAGTATTAATTGTCTTTTAAAAATTCTACGCATTACGCATTAGTGACGCATTCAATTAAGTATTTATATGGAAGAAAGACATCCCTTTGGAAAAATGCTAATACTCTAGCACTTTTTAACGGGTTTTAACCAAACATAGCTTTAAACCTACACTAGGAAACTAAGTTTCATGTAAAAACACTGCATCCACATGTGTCGATTTATGTATGAAATATTGTAAAACTTTATAATATTACTTGTCATATATTTAATATATGTATATAAAGCATTGCAAATGTTCCTACCATATGTATAATAAAAATTAAATGCATAGAGAATTTTATTCATTTCAAGTTTGTAAGTGATACAGATAACTCGGACATTAGGAACAAAGGATGAAATTGTCCAAGAGGTATTTCGAAATGGTTTCAAAACGAAATACTTGCTTCTGGATATATATATACATTGTCGTCATGCAGAGCACTTTGTTGTATAATTTGTTAAGAAATTAAATGAAGGATCAAAATGTAAGTTTTTTAAAATAACATGTTAGGCTTGAAATGTTTATGCAAATCTGTATTTATGACTTTAGAGTAAAAATTTGATTTTGAATGTTTAAATAAAAACCATCCATATATATTGTACGGATTAAACAATACATTTATAAAAATCTCTTGATAAGTTTATTAAATTAAATTCATGCTTTAGTATAAAAAATAACCTGACTACTGTCGTATTTACTATACAAATTTATTTCATAAATGTCTATATCATTAATTTATTTGTGGCAATACAGTTACTAGATATAATGTAACTTGAATTAAAATTAGAAAATATAGAATATAAAAATCATCGCCAGGGGCCGGATTTGAACTTGCAACCTCCGGATTATCGTATTTGAGTTCTTATTTCAATTTAACTATGGTGCCCTACCTCAAGACTGTGAATTAAGCGTTCTCTACAGTGTTCTATAGTGTTTAGGAACAACGTAACTGCCCGGAGATGTACTGTGAAGCGTCTCACGCAATGAACCTATTTCATGCTTCTACATAATCGCACCTCTGTCAAAGGATTTTCTCATTTTCTTGAGCGTCTTTGTGAAAAGGAATAAAAAAATATTTAAAGAGAAGCAAGATATTTTTCGTGATATAGTATGATATTTCATACTCATGGTTTAGAAAATGTAAAATCCAATAAGGTCTGATTTTGGAAATACGTAAATATTTAAGTTACTTTATGATTTTTTAATAAAATAAAAACAGTTCAAGAAATCTATAATAACTGGAAATATTACTTTTAAAATAATAGTATTACTAGGAATTTTATAAACGAAATGCACATATACATAGGTTATAGTACAACAGTTTTAAACAGTTTGCTTGGCATAGTTCCGAAAATATCATAGTAATATTTGCTGAGCATTTAAAGAGCTATGATTTTCAAAAAAGATAACTAAAATGAAAATAATACAAAATATATTAACTTATTCACAAAATATATTTTTGACTCATGAAAAAGTAAAAAAAGCAAAAAAAAAAAATATGTCTGGCATTAAAACCAGAATATATCTATACTAATATTATAAAGCTGAAGAGTTTGTTTGTTTGAAAGCGCTAATCTCCGAAACTACTGATTCGAATTGAATAATTCTTTTTGTGTTGGATATTCCAGTTATCGAGGAAGGCTGTGGGCTATATAACATCACGCTACGACCAATAGGAGCAAAGATATAGTGGTAAATGTGTAAAAAACGGGAGAAATTATTTCATCTTTGAAGCTTTCCGTTGCGTGCGCCGTGAAAACGGTTCAAGATACACAAAAAATATGTTTTAAAGAATAATAGCTCTTTTAATGATCTAAAAAACAGTCTGCAACAGTATATGTCTATCTTTTAAGATTAACTCACAAAAACCGTTTTATGGTACCTAATTTTGTCGAAATAATTTGTTTAAGTTGTATCAAAATAATAATATTAATCTTTGTTCATATAAACAAAGAAATATGTTGTTAGGTAAGAGTACTTCATTATTAATAAAAAAAAAACATAGGTTTCATCCTGAAAATTCTACGGGAACTCGACCATTCCGAAAACCCCGCAAGAACGGGAACTATGTGGGAAGAACCAAAAATCTGTCGGAAGTCACTATTCCACGCGGACGAAGCCGCGGCAAAAGCTAATTATTTAATATTTGAATGAAATTTGTATGAAGCTTCAGTGATTATGATATTTATATTATATTATGTCATGTTTTTGTTTTATATTCAATTTCAGCATTGTAAGCATAAAAAACAAATTATCCGAGAGGACTTTTTTTTCATTACATTACTATAAACTGTATATATATTTATATATATATATATATATATATATATATATATATATATATATATATATATATATAAAAGCATGTTAAAACATTATTAAACGCCATAACGATAAAATAGTTTAATAGTACGATAATATAATAATATAGATAAAATAAAGTGGAGAGATTATTGGTGTATTTTCTTTCTCATACACATTCTACTAAACAATGAATCAAGTAAATGTAAAGATGAAAGTAATTCAATATAATAATTTATTAGGTTCTTACTTACAATAATTTATTAGGTTTTTAAACTTTAAATAAAAAAAAAATGATTTTTTAAAATAAATTTCATAACTTTAGTTTGTTACTTTACAGGTAATAAATTCAAAGATTTATTAAACTTAAATTTCAAAGAGTAATATTCACTAATTCAATCAAACAATCAATAAATTAGCCAATCTTGGTCCACTGCTGGATATAGGCCTCTCCCAATTCGCGCCACAATAACCGGTCCTCCGCCTTCCGCATCCAGTCCGATCCAGCGACCTTCTTCAGGTCGTCAGGCCACCTGGCAGGGGACGTTCTACCCCTCGGTAGCCGAGTCGTGGTCTCCATTCTAGGACTTGTCTGCTCCATCGGTTATCGGTCCTTCGGTAGACATGACCAGCCCATTGCCACTTCAGCGAGCTAATTCTGCGAGCTATGTCGGTTACCCTGGTTCTTTGTCGGAAGACCTCATTGCGAACTTTATCCTTCAAAGAAACTCCTAGCATAGCCCGCTCCATAGCCCGCTGTGCGACTTTAAATCTATTCACTGATTGCTCATCAGTAAATTTATTATATCTCTTACAAGGAGTATTGTTCAATTATTTGAATCACATTTACACACATTAGGCAGGCTGAAATTTACTTTATTTCACCGATATCACGCTGGTATTTTCCACAATACCCATAACCCTAAGGTTTATACAACAATCGAAATTTAGGAATCACTTATGTCATTTCAGATGGCGCGGGCGTTGTATATCTGACATTATCATCTGGCCCGTAGACAATGCAAATAAAGTTGTATTATTACAGATTAAATGGAACTTCTCTACATCACAATCTTATACATACATGCAACATAAAAGGTTGTAAAAATATATAAATGGTAGGATATTTCTTTATTCTAATTAAAAATAAAATACAATGCTGTATGAGTTTTATTTTTTATTGAGGTTATGTTGCATTGAAATCAACAAAAGGGTATCAAGTGACCCAGCATTAAAGTCAGCTTATATGACAAGGCGTGATGGATTACGGACTGTCCCGGCACCCGCTTATTTTTTATTAAATGTCAAGCATTTGCGTAAAAACTTTTTTATACAATACCCTTGTTTTTATAAATATGTTCCTAATATGATAAGTTAATCATTTTAAATTTATAAGGTAACTAATATCTAAACGTGTTTACCTAGGTGTTAAAAGCACCATTAATTTTTTTTTATCTTCTTTATTAATAAGTTACAGAAAATTGTATTAAAAAATTCTGAAAATATAGTATTTATATGTTTTATCAAAAAAACGGGAACATTAAATAAACAGTCACAGAAAGTGTTATTTAAAAATAATGCTTTAACTTTATTTACCATGTGATAACCAGCCATAAGTTGGAGTTAGCATTCTGGTTTAATAAAAAGTTTAAAATAAAATTTCGTTTCAAAACTGAACAAAAGAGTAAAAAGTAAAAAATAAGGTTTTCATTATAAAATTTGACAGTATCAAAGTCAAAACTATATTTTGATATACAATTTATTGCTTACTTCATTTTATAGGCATCAAATATTTTATTTTACATCATCTGTGCAACCAACTTATATGTTTTAAATATTCACGATATCTGGACAATTATTTCAAATATATGTTTAAATAATACAAATATTTTTTATAACGATTGAAAGAATGTCAATTTCGAATGCAATCCTTTTTATTTAGAAACATATACATATAACTCAGATACATAGTACGTCCAATATGTGATTTCTCAACAAACTTATTCGACTACAAAGAACTTTTCATGCTTTGCATTAATATATATTTTATTAGCAAACAAAGCAATTACTATACCAACAAGGTAACAAAAATAAATTTTAATTTTACAATACATATCATTTCCAATAATTGTTATTTTTTAGAATAGGGAACATAATGTGAAGCAGTTAATTTAGTCGAGATGATGTAAAAGTAATAATAAAATATCCATCAATATGGTTAACTTACATAATTTAGCTGTCGTAGTTTTGAAGTTTTAGCTCTTTGAAAAAATATATGGGTAATGTTAAAACTTAATTGTATTTTTTATCTTTATTATTCAACCGCAATGCGCAACGCATTATTTTGGAGAGCCATGTAATCTATGTAATCTACCACGACAATTTAATTTCATTGGATATTTGTAGTATAACAAACTAAAATAATTTTGGCACGTTATACGTTCGACTAATCGCTTTTAAATTAATTTTCTTTCCCTTTCTCTTTTTCAGGCTTAGGAGAATTGTATCCCTCGTGGAAATTTCTTAAATAATTCCAAGGTGACTCCAATTTATAAGAACGCATTTCTTGTGCGTATTCTACTGGCTCATAAACTATTTTCTTAAGCTCATCGTCGTATCTTACTTCCGTGTAACCCACGAGAGGAAAGTCCTTTCTAAGTGGATGTCCTTGAAAAGCGTAATCAGTTAGAATCCTTCTCAAATCAGGGTGATTAGTAAAAATAATACCAAACATATCATAGATTTCTCTTTCAAGCCAGTTGCAATTCCCCCAAAGACTTACTGCTGAATGTAAAGGAGTCAGTTCGTCAGTGTATGTCTTCACACGAGCCCTTTCACCATATCTTAAACTAAGAAGATTATAAACAACCTCAAATCTGTATTCTCTACTAGGTACATCAGCGGCTGTCGCTAGAGAACACTGATTGAAACAGGCATGTTGATGATGCGCCATAAATGAAAGAACAGGGTGAAATCCTTCTGGAGCAATTAATATTTCTAATTCGTCAGTATGTTGCATTTGGATCTTTTGAACATATTTCGGCATACATGCTGCTACATATAAACCAAACTCGTAAAGTTTTTGACGTCGTACATTATCATGTCTCCGAAGTGTGCGACACTCATATTCTATAGGTTTAAGAGAAAACGGATCACCTATTTGAACATCACACTGTTCTTCGCGAAAACATTTACTTATAGAAAAATTTCGTTTTGGAATGGGCGAAAATATTTTCTTAGCTATTTTATACATGTATTTACTCATCACGTATTTTTTCAGTGTCATATGTGTCACAATTTTTTTTACTACCTATGTGCCAGTGATGTGTATATTATAAAAATATATTTTAAATTTTTATAATACTAATTACATAAATTTCAAAAACACAGTTATCATCACATTAAGTATGAAATAACACTACCGTACACTGTGTGATATTATTTTGCTAATTAAAGAATCGAGTAACTGTGAAAAGATACAATATTTAAAAAATGGTATTTACTTAAACGATTTCGAAGATTATTGGTTGAACGTTGCCTTATTCTCTTTGATACAGTTTGAAAAGAACAACAAAAAAGTATGCTTTTAGTAAGCCACACAACAATTTAATTTTGGCGTTGACAGCAATCCTCAGTATAACGTGAAAAAATTCCTGCTGTAAAGCGTTCAATAAATTCACTGATTTTCCATCAGAAATAAATTATGAAATACCTTTTTTCGCAATATTTTATGAGATATAATAAAATTATTAGTTTCATGCCTTGGATATTTATTTTCATGCTATGGATATTACGCTCCAATGTAATTGGATTTTTGGTCCCTTTTGTATAAAATGATATTACCTATTTTGATTTCTATTATAACTACGGAGTAATATTGTAAGGAAGATAAAATAACACATACAGATGGAAAATATTACCATTCTGCATTGGTCACTAATAAATCCTTTCTAATTTAAAGAGATGAGTTTTTCTTTGAATCATTAAAGCACAAAACAACGACCAATCATCAAGATTCAATTAAAAATTCTGACCCGTATTTAATATTAATTTTGTGGATCGACACCACGTTTTATACATATTTATAATAGTACATGTTCATGGCATTATGCATAACTGGAACCAATAAAAAGTTCATTGTTCAATGTAAAGTGAAGTAAATTAAAATTATAACAGAATGAATAAGCTGCAATTGCATATGATTTATATTTGAATAAGCTTAATAAATATTATTTCTAGTTTCTGTATAGACTGCAATTAGACTAAAGTCGTTGATGATGTGAGAAATGTTCACTATTCACATCTAGTTTAGCCATTAGATGTAAACAAATATAACGTAATTAGTCTAATAACGATCATAAAACAAATACAGTGGGTTTGAGAATGATCTACTGGTTTTAAATTGGCTAATAAACAAAGAATCCGTCGACAAAATAAAGCGGTAGTTCCTAAACCGCTTCATCAGTCACACCACGATAGTCTAACAAGGATCCCTGTAACGCCCATTGATTGCCAAATTGGCTGTCTAGTTTCAGACAATCAGAATCAGATAATAGTACCCAAGTTAATCAATTTCATACCCAATATACTGAGAGTTCGGACTTACATGTTTATAAATTATTACCACTAAATATTTTTTATTAAAATTTTTATTACTTATTTTAAAATAAATATTTATTTTAAGTTTAAACTTCAACAATAGCAATAATATTTTTAGCTATTATTGAATTATGATAAACATCATAAAGCACTATAAACTATCACATCGAGCTATAACACACACAAACCACATCGGACCGTCAAAAGACTAAAAAGTATGCTGGCAGGCCACCGCTTAAACTGCTTCAAATACGTTGCGATAGCCCAACATGGCATTCTGTGACGCCCGTTTATTACAAAGTTAACCGCCTGACAAATAAAAACAGGAACACCGATTTTTTTCCATTGGAAAGTAAATTTTTACATTTAAAAATACAAAAAAATTCAATTTCTGTTTATTATATTCTTTTTTTAGTTTTACTTGAATATACGACTAAAGAAAATGATATTTTGGTTAAAAAAGTTTATAAACACGGTCCATTACCTCTTTTAATTTATATAGGAATTTAGCGGTAACTTTATCTGATTTCATAACGTTTATTATTGAACTTTACTCGACAGTTTTAAGTTACTAAAAGTAGCCCATGCGAATGGTAGAATATAAACAATTATTTTTTCAATCAATTATGAGGCAATGGAACTTGTTCATCGCTTTTTTTACTCAGAATGCATGAATATGCTCTTTACCAAAACTCTTAAACGGCCTGCGTTGTAAAAGTCCACAATACTGACTCTTTTAACTTTTGAAGCACAGTATTTTTCTTTTGACATCTTTATTCACGTCTTCTGCTGTGAATTACGTGGAATGGTGTCCTTCATTCTAGAGTGTCATCTTCTGTGGATAGTCTACATAACTTAAACTTATTTTTGCCCTCATGCAACTATGGGACATGGAGCAGCAAAATCACCTCACGTTTCCACTAGATCGCTGTGTATATAAAAAAAAAAAATCTTGTATAAGTCAATACTTTTTCTTAATAGCTACGATTTCTCTTTGTTTCATTTTAAAGTTTACTCTCAAGCTGTTTTAACAACAGATTATGTATTGATTTTCTGGGAAAATATTTAGAACACCTATTTAAAATGTTTTAATAGGAGTTTAAGCAATGTCAATAATAGCTTCCGAAGCAACAATAGGCTTCCGTCCACCGACAGACGGCATTGTCAGCATTCAATGGAATCCTCTTGCTGGAAAATGGCTCCAAGAATGATTTGCTTTGTAAACTTAACGAGTGAGAAATTTTCCTTCAAATATATGACAAGAATATCATTAATGAATAGGTCTTAAATAATAAAATGTTTAACAATTGATAATTATATTGATATAATGATCAAATATGTACACTTGCTTTAGGAGGTAGAAGAGGATTGAAGGTATACATGTTATTTACCCACTAATTAACAAAATTGACAGTACCATTGAAACTACTCTTTTACATTATTCATTTATTAGACAACAAAGGTTTTAGTACAATAAAGATAAACAATATAGAATGATAATAAGTCATTAATATCACTATTTTTTAACAAAGGCTAAAATCAAGTAAAAGATAAACGAAAACAGGCTTTCCTTGAACCGTTTTTTATTTTATATATATTTTGAAACAATTAATTTTGCGCAATCTTTTTTTAAGGAACTAATAAAATAATCAACTTTTCATTAACGAGTGAGAACTGCATTTATTTATGATTAATAGGGTATTCTAACCTCTTTGGAAGAAAAAACAGTTTTTGATTAAATAGTATTTGACATTAATGGAAAAGTAATATTTTATTATATAAAAATTATAGACATATTCACAAGCGCATAGTTTATTCACCATCGTGTTTAAAAATAGTTTTAATTATGATTCTTTCTTATCTTTCACGTCGGCAAGGTAATATAATTAAAAGTACTCTTAACTCTAAATCTTAAAGTTAAGGACAAACCTTACAGTAGTTCCAACGCAAGCATATTTCCTATAACATCTAATTTACGAAGGACAGTACTTTAGGCAAGACTTGTGACTGACCTAGCTTTACAGTATCCCCTTGCGAGGATAATTTCCAAGCGTTCCATATATTAAAAGAGATATACAACCATGTAATCAGTTTTCAACGAAAAAAGTCGTTGATCAACAAACATATGATATTCATGAATTGATTATTAGTAGAACAAGTAGTACGTAAAATTATATAACTTTTTATCTGTTGAAATTATTACATATTTCTTTTCTTTCCAATATTAGTAGTATGGGGAAAGTTGTTAATATTTTGACGTTATTTGATAATAATCAAAACTACGGTATATATTTTGATTGTACAAATATTTAGTAATTGTTTAATTCTGTTTATTTTACAGCTAAAATAGCAACATACATCCGATATCCAACATCAGTTAGAATACACCCAGTATTAAAATCAAGCACTGCATTATCTTCTACTATTCAATTAAATAACTGTACAACCATGAAGCCTATAGGATCACCATTTTTTAATCTCGTATTAAATTTTACTTTAATAACTTTGTATTTTTATATGTGTTTATATTGTATACCTTACTTTATCATATATGTATTTACCTTATTTTATACCTTACCTTATTTTAACAGCATACTAACAAATTTATAATAAAATATAGATTAAACCGTTTAGCACGACGATGGTACGTTTAGATGATGAAAAACCTCATGATCACGCTAAACTCTGGATTATTGAAAAGGGAACTGCTGCTGTTATGTTAGTGCTTATACCGTTTGGACTGTTGATTCCCAATAAACTTTTTGACTCTATTTTGGCAATTCTTATAACAGCTCATGCCTATTGGTAAGTTTTATTTCATATTTTAAGAATTCAATTCTATAATATTTTGAGAATACTATTAAAAACAATGTTTAAAAATCATCATAATTAATTATTTTTCTTCAGGGGGATGGAAGCTATCATGGTGGAGTATGTGCGAGTATTGTTATTCGGTCCAACGATTCCGAAAGTTGCCTTGGGTGTTGTTTATGCACTGACTGTCCTTATGCTGGGAGGTTTATTTTACCTTATCTTCAATGACATTGGGATGTGCAGAGCATTCTGGAGAATTTGGAGGAACATGAGAAAATCGAAAGATGCTCCCCAAACTCCCAGCGGTGGAAAATCTTGTTAATGTTATTAAAGAAACTTAATAATGTGTTTTAATCTTTAGAAATTGTTTAGTATAATGGTCACAAATAGAAATGTATTGTTGTGACATTAAAAAATCTTTATAAAATATTGTAATGTTTTTCTTTCAATAGCTATTTTTAAATCCCACAAGTATTTTCATAAAGCAAAATTACAAAAATACATATTGGCAGCTCATCAATTAGAACTTACCTCCTTCAAATTATAATCTAAAAGGCGAAGTTTATCTATGCCCAGTTATGTAAATTGAAAGTCAGTGTATAATGTATATATGCAATACATATAGATTTGTTTTCTTAAAAATTGTTTCATTCATGTCGCAAGATGCCGTTAGTAATTAGTTTTATATATAGAACGCAAATATTAATGTTCTTGTTTTTTTTAAAAAGCATGAACAGTCGCCCAGAAGAAAGAAACTTGAATTCTTTAAAAAATCTGAAATAATCAGCATAGGAAGATTAAAAAAAGGTCTTCTATAAAAATTTGGTTAAATCTCCGTATTAAGTTTCAGGGCTGTGGGTGTTGAAAAATTTAAATTAGTAAAATGTAAAATTGTAGTAATAAATAAAAAGTAAACTAGAAGCCACTTAAGCTGTGTATTAAACTCAAATATGAGAAAATATTTTCGAAGCCCAATATAAAACCTATGAAAAGATTTTATAGACGCTCGAGAATATTATGTAGCTCCTCTGGAAAATCTCGAAAGTTTACATCAGCATAAGCCATTATACGCAAGATAATAGTTTATATCAACCCAATTTAGGAAGATATGAATAGTAAATTTTTGCATTTTTCGTAAAAATCTCACAGTTTTAAGAATTTTCATACTTTGTTTTCACAGTACCCAAAAGAAGGTAAAATTAAAAAAAAACATACTTCATTATTAATAATAATAATAATGTTTCAGTGTCTTAATAAAAGTTCTTCATATATCTCCTTCATGTTTGGAAGAGATTTTCCAAGTTAATATGAACAAACAATAGACTACTTTTCCTAAACTTTGAGAGTTTATATCACTTCTATGTTCAAATAAAAAGAATGAACGATTTATACTTACCTGTTAAATTGAAAAAGTTACCAAGACCACTGTAAGGGCAGATTTACGTGCGCCGGGTGCTGAGTAATATCAAAAAAGTTTATGGCAAACAGTTAACGTTCACTGTGAACGGAGTTTTTAATAATTTGAAATGAATTGAAAAATATAAATCCAATATCGTCAATGGGGAGTTGAAGTTTATAAGAAAATCGATTAGTTTCATAATTATGTATATTTTTATATATTTTTTCAGTATTTGTTGTGTTTGTTGTTGCAAAAGTTGTTTGTCGTATTTGGGTAAAAGATATATGTATGTAGGAGGGCGTTATAAGAACAGGAGGGCCTTCATGGGAACTCATACTTTGAAAGGGATAAAGTACGGTCTATTCAATACGACACCAACTCAATCGAAACACTAGATATCACTATCACTTCGATACACAGCGATTCGTCACGAGCGCGGTGCGCGGGCGTCATCTCGCACGATACTCCATCCTAAAGATGGCCGCCCTCGCTACCATCACAATGACGCTTCACTAGGCTAACCTCAGACAGCTAAAAGTCAACCTGACGTATGATTTTTGACGGATGCGCCGTCACGGCCGGACTGACATCCGACCGTCCTCGGGCGGTTCTCGGATCAATGAACTACAGTTGTTTCTATTCCGTTCGGCATCCTGACAAACGACTAGTTACAATCATCAAAATGTGCTATGGTACTTAAGACTTAAGGCGAGCATCTCGTAGCAATTAAGCCAGACGACAACATTCATCTCACCACAATGTTCAAAGCATCCAGAACAAGTCAACCAACTTAAAGGGCTCTGACCCGGACGACTACATTCGTCTTGCCACAATGTTCAAAGCATCCAGAACAAGTCAACCAACTTAAAGGGCTCTGACCCGGACGACTACATTCGTCTTGCCACAATGTTCAAAGCATCCAGAACAAGTCAGCCAACTTAAAGGGCTCTGACTCGGACGACTACGTTCGTCTTACCAGAACAAGTCAGCCAACTTAAATGGCTCTAACTCGGACGACTACATTCGTCTTACCAGAACAAGTCAGCCAACTTAAATGGCTCCTGACTCGGACGACTACGTTCGTCTTACCAGAACAAGTCAGCCAACTTAAATGGCTCCTGACTCGGACGACTACGTTCGTCTTACCAGAACAAGTCAGCCAACTTAAATGGCTCCTGACTCGGACGACTACGTTCGTCTTACCAGAACAAGTCAGCCAACTTAAATGGCTCCTGACTCGGACGACTACGTTCGTCTTACCAGAACAAGTCAGCCAACTTAAATGGCTCCTGACTCGGACGACTACGTTCGTCTTACCAGAACAAGTCAGCCAACTTAAATGGCTCCTGACTCGGACGACTACATTCGTCTTACCAGAACAAGTCAGCCAACTTAAATGGCTCCTGACTCGGACGACAATATTCGTCTTACCAGAACAAGTCAGCCAACTTAAATGGCTCTGACTCGGACGACAATATTCGTCTCACCAGAACAAGTCAGCCAACTTAAATGGCTCTGACCTGGACGACAATATTCGTCTGACCACAATCTGCAGAGCATCCAGAACAACTCAGCCAAACGAATGAACGATGATCGAGACTCCAATGAGCTAGCCCCATCATCTCCACTACTTATACTCATGTGAGTGAACGATGACCCGGACATAGACTCCACAGAGCTAGCCCGTCCATCTTCACAACCTGATCAAGCGTCGACCGGACGTGGACTCCATCGAGCCAGCCCCTGCACGCTTTGATCCATCACTACTAGAAACATCGGCCGCATCAGCCAGTTCCATCGCCACCTCAAACACACCAACTCAAACTTACACAACTCATTTATGGTTTATCAATGTTGGAGGCCATCAGAGCTACTCAGCTACTCACTTTCATCATCTGACATAGCTTCGTTTCCATTCTCTCCACTCCATGACCCGCCGTCTCGGCCTCCTCATTACTTAGTTCAGTGGATATGTCAACTAACCCTTCAAAGCCTCTGGGTACTGCGCCCAAGTTTTCATGAGAGTATTTTAAAGTGCAATTAGATTCATCGGTATGTTTCAGTTCGTACCTATCGTTGTCTAGAATTTTAGTTATGATAAAAGGTCCCCTAAACTTTCTTTGCAGTTTAGTTTGGTAACATTTGCTACACTTAACAAAAACGTAATCTCCCCGAGAAAGAAAAAAAAGGTTTTACTTGGGCTTTGCCTTTACTAAATTTAACTATTTCCTTTTGATCTGCGTTTTCAGTGTTGAGGGAAGTTTTATTCCGGATATTGTCTAAATCTAATCTCGGCTCGTTTGAATTTTGGGCTATTAATGATATCCCTAAAGATTGCGCGCGAATGCCAAACATTAGTTCTGTTGGAGTATATCCTGTAACACTACGGCTTGTGTTATTAAGTGCTAGATGACTCTCCCAGATCAGAGTAATTTAGTAAGATGGGGTAAAGGTACCGAAAACACTTGCTATATCTGCGGAAAGGCAGTTGGAACTGCTAAGCATTTGCTAGTGAGATGTAAGGTTCTCCTGGACAGCGGTCAATTCTCGCGTCGTCACTATAGGGTTTTAGAGATCATACTTGAAGCGGTTAGCCTTTCGGTAGCCAGAGCGCAAAGGGAAATAACCACAAACGAGCGATCAATAGGTTTTGTGAGAGAGAGCACCAGGGCTATAAAATCAAACGTCAAGCCTTACTCTATCCTTAAAGCGGCTTCGGATTGGACTATCATGATGGATACGTATGAGAAACAACACAAAATCCCCGAGGATATTTGTGCGTCAGCCTCCAGACCAGACATATTTCTATATTCGCGTATTTTAAAGCGCGTTGTGATGATAGAGCCTACGGTGCCTTGGGAAACCAACATCCCCAAAGACCATGCCATCAAGGTCATTAAGTATTACGAGCTCACTAACGAACTAACTCGAAATAGGTTCGTCCGCGGTAGAGGTGGGAGCGAGAGGCATAACAGCCAAATCTCTCTACAACCTACTAAAAGACTTGGGCCCGTCCAGAACCAACATTAATTCATTCTCGGAACGTACGTCGAAAGCAGCCCTAGCAGGTTCCTTCCAAATTTGGCTAGGTAGGGAGAGGAACTTGGACAGTGGAGGTGAGCGTACAACGCGCGTTAGTTAAGGGGCCCCTTAAACCCACACCTGGGTCGCAAGTCCCAGGCACTGCTGAAGCTCCCCTCCCTGCAACGCGATGGACCCGGCACCCGCACGGTGAATCCATTGAATGCTAAGCGGTTTCGTCCCTTGTACCTCAGGAAGTTTGTCACGCCACGTTTTATGGGTATCGTTTTCTATAATAGTTAGCAGACATTTTAAAATCTGCATGACCCTTTCTACTTGACCGTTGGCTTTATTTGCCCCTGTTGTTATAAAGTAAAGTTCTATACGAGGTGTTTTACTCAATTCTCTAAAGTCCGCGCTTACAAAGCCCCTTCCCCGATATAACAATTCGCTTGAGAACACCGAAAAGAGAAACAGCTTTTCTCAACGCTTTAATAGTACAACTGGCATCGAGGGATAGAGTATGCTCTTAAAGGACATACTTGATAACATAATCAATCATTACTGACGCGTATTTCTTTTCTGTCGCTTTTGCCACTTAATGTCCCAGTCATATCTATGTGAATAGTATGCCAATAAAATGTATGCAAATCCTTAGGAGAATTTACATGGCCAAAATAGCAATAACCCCACTGAATAAAATTTGGAGAGATAGGAAAATTATTAATGGAACAAAAATGCATCTGATACGAACGCTTGCCTTCTCTATATTTCTATCTATCTAGCTATCCGATTCTGTATAGTGCAAAGACGTGGACTATGAAAGTCGTTGACAGGCAAAGAATTGATGCCTTAGGAATGTGGTGATGACGAAGTATGTTACGCATACCTCAAAATATGGT